ATAGAGCAGAAATAGTCAAAAACACTCAAAAAAACTACTGTAGTTTCGGCTATTTCTCGGCGTCTATACTCCATCTCTTTCTAACAAAGTAAATACAAATTTAGTTGACGATTGATGAATTCATTTTTTGGTCTATGTTTATTTCAACATGTCAGAATTCTTTATTGTCCTCTTTTTTGCCATTTTCAGATCTGACGAACGAAGGGTTTTTAGTGGTCCTGGGGAATCTATTGGGCCATCCTTATATTTAATCACTCTCGGTACGGAGTTGGGGACGAACGCAAACTTATTTGCATCTCTTAATTGCCTGACTTTCGTCATCAGCCGTTTGTGTTCATTTCTGGTATCTGGGTGAATATCGTCGCTGATTCCCACCTTTACGCCGGGGATTCGAACATTTGTTAATGTCGGGCTCTTCTTCAGGATCGACTGGCGATCGGTGAAGCATAGCAGCTTTACGTGGAAGTGTCTTGGTCGTGGGTTGCGCTGGTCACCAGCTTGAGCACGGGATATTCGTGGCGTGCGATGGGCGCGTTCCACTTCCACACTCTCCATATTCAAAGGAGATGCGAAAAACTGGCGGGCGGTATTGTGCGTATCGTAGAATTTTCTTCACCTTCTGGTCTGCCGTGAATGATGACGTTGTTTTGCTTACTTCTGTTTACTAGATCGACGATATTCTTCTCAGCTCATCTACATATCCATAATCTGCTTTCGTGGCTTTTACTTTCTCAACCTCTGACTTTGTTTCACATATTTTTGTTTCTATAAACCCAGTTCCATTCTCAAGATCCGATACCCTTGTATCCAGACATTTAAGCTTTATTTCATTTTTTTAACTTAAAATTAAAATGAATATTTTAGGCCACTTTTTAATCAATTTTTAACGCAGCTCCACTCGCTCTTAAACTCCTATCCTACTATCCTCCAGAGGATAAAATATAAAATGTTTCGGGGGTGATCTGCTCTGCGTAATTAATGTAATGTACATCAGGGAACGAAAATGTGCCCGTACGTGTTTGTGTACGAGGGATGGAAAAAAAATCCTCTTTGATGAATTTTGAATTGGAAAGGGGCGAAACATTTTAGCTCCTATAAGGGTGCCATGACTAATAAAAGGGTGGAAACGCTGATTTAGTAGATTAAAGATGGCTGCCCCCCCCCCCCCCCTCCTGACTGAGCACACGCTACGCAACTAATAAGACTTGATTGTGTTTCCCTTCACATATAGTGAGTTTTAAGCATTTAACTTAGAGTTGGAGTGAACAAATAAATAAAAAATATCATTGTACAGACGCGAAAAAGCTGACTGGGAGAAAGAGGAGCTTCTGTCAATTACATATTGTATTTGGATGATCATACCATGGTTACCGTGGATTGTGTCCACGCAAAAGATGACCTACAAATACGCCTCTAGGTGATCAATTTACTACACCCGGGTGGAGAGTGACAATAATTGTTGCTACATGTATTACCTAAGTACATTGTTGTGGCAACGGAGCTCGAACCATTACATTCGCATTTCCTGTCAACGATTTGAACATCTTCAAAGTCAAATTAATACCCTACCATGTACATGCATTATGCATATTTTCCCTTGGACCACATACAGCATTTTTTTTTTGGCAGTTGGTAAAATTGATTAATTAATCATTTAATATCAGCTTGTACGGTTACAAAACTTTAAAATGCCGTTGCTCGTAGAGTGACCCTCTGCAACAAACAAAGTCACATCACGCTAATTCACAACCACTGCTTTGGTTGCCTATAACTTAATGCATAGTTTGCAATATCATTTTGATTTTATTTATTTGTGTGCTCTGATACACAGAACAAGTCTACTTTAATAAATCAGTAGATAGCGTCTAGACCTTTACGTTCTCAAAACTTTGGAGTACGTGTTGTTCCTAAGCTCAATACCAAGTGGGGTATAAACCTTTGCTCATGCAGGGCCTTCGCTGTAGAATGCTTTTCCTCTAGACATTCGTACTAGCGGATCAGTCGAAATGTTTAAAACTTAACATTAAAACGTATTTGTTTGATTCGGCATAATTATGATTAATGGTTCTCATTCATTTTTGTATATTCTATGAATTTTGTCGTTCTTTTTTTTTATAATGCACATGTTTTTATGTTTTGATTTCAAGTGGATTTGGATAAAAATCTCATCCTTCTTCTTCTTCTTCTTCTTCTTATGATTATATTATTATAATTTTAATGATTATTACTATTACTATTTCTCATGATAATATATAGTAATAATAAAAAAGAGAATAATGATAATATAACATGTCCATTTGTATAGCGCAGCTGCTCTATGAATATACTATACTGCGCTTAATACACATTACGTATCACATTATTACCCCGGCTGAAGATGAGCTGCCATTTTAAGGCGCTAAAGTCTTCAACGAATGTCTTCCTTCCAGGTACCCATTTACTTCACATGAATGGAGAGGGGCAATTGTAGATTATTTTCTTGCCAAAAGATATTAGTGCCGCGGCGGAACTCGAACATTACCGTGAACCATGTGATGTACAGTCCGGTGATATAGATCCACAAACCACGGCACCTCTGCATTGCTATTATTTTTATCGTTATTATCATCATCATTTTTACTATTATTATTATTATTTTTATTATGATTATTATTATCATCATCATTACTATTGTTATTACTATTACCATTATTCAATAGAATAACAAACAAGGCCATGTATTAACACTAACGTAACTAGAAATTTAATTTTGTACAAACATTCATACCCAGGCAATAACACTGATTTGAATGTTTTTTCACAAACAGAAGAATGATACTCACTTGTATCGCAGAAAGCAACGTAAAAGGAGAATGCAGATATGAGGAAATAGACGAGCATTGGATGACGGGGTAACATCTTGATAACCAGTAGACGTAAACACTCGATCAGTTGATTCTCAGAAAACCTTCTGTGTTTCATGCATTCTGAAATGCTTAGAATTAACTAGTTGAATATCTTTGTAACTTCGCGACCAACGTTATGTATGGTGTACCGTTGCATTAGATGATTTGTGAATTAAACAAAATACTTAAATACCATCCCTCTTACTCATATACGGTTTGCGCATGCACTGTATACGTCAGAGTTCGTGTCGATGTTACCAAACAGGTTCATGCGTTGTTATGTTGTAAATGAAAACGCGATCGACTATTATAAAAAAAAAATTATCGATATGGCTTCCAATCACCCGATACCAAAACAGTCACAGTAAGATGCTGAAACATATTATCCGAAGTAGCGCAGCAATACTAGACCAGAGTATATAATCTGTCATCTATGTTACAAAGTTGCAACATTAATATAGTGATGGCATAGTATCGAACTGTAGGATTGAGTAATGTTTGCGGCCTGCTAAAACAATGGTCTGCTGGGTTGTCTTCATCTAGACTTCACCTTTTTCAATCGCATAAGCAATGAAAATATGAATTAATAAAAGAGTGCATGCGCATCTATGTAGGCAAATCTATTGTTTTTTAATGTTAATTTATTAATTTATTAATCAATTTATTATTTTTGGCACTGACATACCGATTTTTTTATTGGGGGGGGGGATCGGTGGAATGCTTCCTGCATGCATGAAAAAATGAATGAAGACTGATCATAGTTTTGAAAGAGCCGTGAGATAAAGAGAAACAATTAATCACCAACACATAGCTTGTTTTATAGTTAAGGATTTCATTTGGTCAAAGGCCTACTATATTTAAAAGAAAAAGAGCTTTAAAGAGATACTGGACGTATTTGAACACCCTCGATTATAACATAAACTTGATTTTTGAGTGGACTAAACTACTACCTCATTAACTACTAATCTGCCATCTACATTACAAAATTGCATCAGTAACGCACTGTTTTTCTTTATCACCTGGGTTATAGTGAGGGCACAGTATCGAACTGTATATATATATATATAGGAAAGAGTAATGTTTGCGCCCAGGTAGAATCGTACCTTTGACTCTATAAATCCACACTGCATTTTTTCAAATCGCATTAGCAAAAATAATATGAATTGTTCCACCTTGTCTGACGTTATTTTTAAAATTAATGTAGCTTGTGTGTGTGTGTGTGTGTGTGTATGAGCCTTTGCATGTCTAATATCGAAGATGACTTAACGAGCACATAAACTTAAACTCTTTTTTTTTGCACAGGCATACCGATTTTTTGAGGGGGGAATGCTTTATACATGCATTAAAAATGAACATAGAATGATCATAGCTTTGAAAAAGCTAAATGATAAAGAGTATCAATGTCACTAACACACAGTTTGTGTTATAGTTAAAGGTTCCATTTGGTCAAAGGCCTACTCATTGATTCATTAAAATGAACACGATGCATGACAATCGACGCTATTAGAAGAAGAAAAAACAAAGATTTGTAGATCATAATTTAGATGAACGATATGATAAAAATGTAGAACATAATTTAGATACACGTTTTGATAAAAATGTAGAACACAATAAGTGTTAGGTATTAAACATGCAAGGAATATTCAAATATAAACCTATGAAATCTATGAACGCTTAATACGTATGCCACATTATGAAACAAAGCTAGGGTGAATTGTGATGAAACATATATCCCCAGAAAGAGAGTTTTTTAGGCGATTGATTGATCTCTGAAATATAACATAGAACCTGACACTATTGGAAATAGGGGCAGTGTACTTGGAATGGGCTACAGTTTTATCACATTTGTTAGGCGTTGTCGTCCAATCCATTTGATTTGATCTGTGTTTCTTTTTAATTCAGGAAACCCTATACAATCTGATTGAGTACTAGTGGAGAAAACGGATAAGTCGATGCGAAACCAGCTTAAGGAGATCCGGTCAGCTACCCGCTGATTGGACAATAGTCACAATGCCCCCCGACGGTCACTGCGATCCTAACACCAGGTATAAATAGCCACCAAAACGCTGCTGGGCATCCATTCAAGTCATCGAACATTGTTACGTTCTGAACTTCACTTCCGATTTATTCTAGACTCATCAAAAACATCATGTCTGGCAGAGGAAAGAGTGGAAAGGCCCGCACCAAGACAAAGACGCGCTCATTCCGTGCAGGGCTCCAGTTTCCAGTAGGACGTGTTCATCGGTTTCTCCGAAAGGGCAACTATGCAAAGAGGGTCGGCGGTGGAGCTCCTGTCTACATGGCTGCCGTCCTAGAGTACCTCACTGCCGAAATCTTGGAACTCGCAGGCAACGCTGCCCGCGACAACAAGAAATCTAGGATCATCCCACGCCACCTTCAACTCGCTGTGCGTAATGATGAAGAACTCAACAAGCTTTTGGGTGGGGTGACGATCGCTCAAGGTGGTGTTCTGCCCAACATCCAAGCCGTGCTGCTCCCCAAGAACACCGCTAAATCAAGCTAGAGTTTGCTCCCGGCAATCTTGAAACCTCAACGGCCCTTATCAGGGCCACCAATTACTCACGAAAGAATTGTTTCATTTATGAATCCCCCTACCCCCCACTCTCTTTCTCTCTCTCTCTCTCTCTCTTAGTTTAAAACGCTACACTTGGGATGAACTAAGCCTTAACAGTTGTTATATATAATGATTGATATATATTAAATAAAGATATACATCCTTAGATGTTATGAACAAAAATGTGTATAGAGCAGTAAAAGAAAAAGAAAGGTGTTTAATCAAAAATATATTTACAGTTACTAGTACGGATATTAGGGTGACCATGCAGAGCAAAACATTATCTTTTTAGTAGGCATTTTAATGGGAAACTATTAATATGCAATTTCCCATGAATGTGACTGTGTTTCAAGAGGGGTGACGATCAGGGGTTGATGGTGTTATCGCCATTTGATCTCATTTTTTTCTTCAAATTCATATAATGATTGTGTACATTATACGTGGTAGGAGAGGATGAAGAAGAAGAAGGATGAGAAGAAGACGGAGAAAGAGAAGAAAGAGAAGGGGGTGGTGGAATAAGAGCATGTTATGATGGAAAAGAAGGGAGAAAAGTTTCTTAAAACAAACACAAACTGGCATGCAGTCATGGGGGCGGACGACCCGGGATTGTCTCCTCCCACGTACGCAACAATGCCTTATGTTGATGGCGTTGCCGAGCCGATGGTTATTCGTTTTGTTAACCTCCCGACGCACCGTATATCAAGATGGCTGAGAAGAATAGCTCTAAGAAGGTGACTACTAAGAAGCCGGCCGCCCACCCACCGGCTGCCGAGATGGTTGCTACAGCAATCACCGAGTTGAAGGACCGCAATGGCTCTTCGCTGCAAGCAATAAAGAAGTATATCGCTACCAATTTCGATGTGCAGATGGACCGACAGCTGCTATTCATCGAGCGGGCCCTAAAGTCTGGCGTGGAGTAAGGCAAACTAGTGCAGACGAAGGGGAAAGGAGCTTCGGGTTCTTTCAAGCTGAATGTGCAGGCGGCCGAGGCACAGCGTGAGAAAGCCAAGGAAAAGGCTGCAGCGAAGAAGGAGAAACTGCAGAAGGCAGCCGCCGTAAAGAAAGTCAAGGCAGCCCCCAAGAAAGCGAAGAAGCCAGAAAAGAAAACGACTGAGAAGAAAGAGAAGAAGAAGAAGACTCCAAAGAAGGCACCCAAGAAGCCAGCAGCCAAGAAATCAACACCAAAGAAGACGCCCAAGAAGGCAGCCGCAAAGAAACCCAAGACTGCCAAGCCCAAGAAGCCTGCGGCAAAGAAGGCTGCAAAGTCCAAGTGATCAAGTTGCACGCCAACTTTCCCATCCTACCAAAACGGCTCTTTTCAGAGCCACCACATACCCAAGAAAGAACACTTGTCCAAATGCACTCATGGGATACTATGATTATGTGTAATGAAGAAGAAAATGAAGGAAAAAAAGGGGATGGGGGGGGGTGAAACAAAGAAAATGGATAAAAAGAAATTAAAAAGGGAAATAAGAATGGCGTGCATTATTGACGGTGATATTAGCCCAATCAGCACTGGTTCTCGTTTCAGCCCTTTTAAAATACAAACAAACTATATATAATACAGTACTTGTGAATATAAAAAAAGATGAACATATAAATCATATACGAACAAAAAATGAAGGATGAGAGAGAAAGAGGCGCGCGGGCGGGCTTGGGTGAGAAATGCTTCCTATTGATGTATATTGAGTAATGTAGGTGATGACCGATTTTTCAGTTAATTAAGTTTCGTCATCCATGTATACTGTTGGATAAGATTCGTCACCCCCTCTTATTTCAACTCGAGCATTCAACACAGGCCTCTCTAGATAAATGCATGTACTAATGCTAGCGAATACTCGCCACAAGGGGGCGCACTCGAATGGGGAGTCTCCGCACTCCAGTCCCGCATACCGAATGATGCCGAATCTCGTCACCTAAGTCCGCAATGGTGTAACAATACTCGCTGCAATCCGGTTAGCGTAATATCCAGTCTACAGGATCACACAGAACTCGCTCTCAACTATCAATCATCATCATGTCAGGTGGAGGAAAAGGAGGAAAGGGACTCGGAAAGGGTGGTGCCAAACGTCATCGCAAGGTTCTACGAGACAACATCCAAGGCATCACCAAGCCTGCAATCCGTCGACTTGCTAGAAGGGGAGGTGTCAAGAGGATCTCTGGTCTCATCTACGAAGAGACACGGGGTGTACTGAAGGTCTTCCTGGAGAATGTCATCCGTGATGCAGTCACCTACTGCGAGCACGCCAAGCGAAAGACTGTCACAGCCATGGACGTGGTGTATGCACTGAAGAGGCAGGGTCGTACATTGTACGGCTTCGGCGGCTAAGTGTAGCAGACCTCTCTCTCGCCTGGCTAGAATAACAAACGGCTCTTTTCAGAGCCACCAAATAATCAAGAAAGAATACTGTTGTATGTTAATACCGTGAAGTAAAAGAAAGAAGAAGAAGAAATAAGCCGTTAATATAAGGCAAAACGAATAATGACTGTAAATACCTCCCAGAAGAGGCGATATAGTGATTGGTATAGACAGATGAAAGGCAAATCATGAAACAGAAAGCATTGAATGAAATTTAGGTTGGGCAAGAAGGGTGTGTCTATTCCAAAAGAAAGGCAGATTATGAAACAGAAAGCAGTAAGAAATTTAGTTAGAAATAGTGTATAGACATTGACATTTATAGTATGAGGGTCGTTATGTATGTTTTCAACTGAAATTGAACATTGTATCAAAAGAGAATTATGATTTATTTACAAAAGTAAATGTAAATGCTCGTTATTAAACAGCCTACTCTGTGATAAAAGATGTGAAATGGATGAATAAAAAATAAAAGATGCATGTTGTTTTCATAATGATAACGCATTCATAATGATAATACCTAATATGTAATCGTATAGCGCTTGATACAGCGCTTTAGATATATTATATAGGTTCTCTTTTTCATTTGCTCTAACCAAATAATTTTGAATTACAATGTCAAAGATATTTCATTGCTCATTTCTGTTATATCATTACGTTTATTATTATTGTCTGTCGTTGTTTATATTGTGTGAGAAGAAATGAAAAATAAATTCGCTCTTTACATATAGAGCGACACTACTACTACTACTACTACTACTACTACTACTATATAATTATATATCTCCGAGATTATGTCAAAAGTAGGAGTGAATTATAACCTGTGCAAGTATGTCTTGGATAAAAAGTTTCGACATGTTCCATATTCCCATCAAAATCATCCTCTTCTTCAATTGAACAATGCAGAGAGATCCTATATTAGAACATATGCCCGTATGATCTGTATGGGTTGTCACCATGTCGCCATCTCTAGGCAGGGGATGGAACAGGCACTAATTCTGCGACGCCTAAGACCAATGAAAGGATCGAGACCGAGGCTCATTTGCATACGGACCGCAGCATACGGATCCGGCCCCGTGTATAAAAAGGAAAGGTTCTCGCTGACCATTCACAGTATCCCAAGAATATTTGCTTGACATACTCGTTTCGCTGCATCTTTACGGGCCAGAAAACCTCAATTCATCATGGCTCCAACAGCTCAAGTTGCTAAGAAAGGCTCCAAGAAGGCAGTCAAGGCCCCTCGGCCCAGCGGTGGCAAGAAGAGGAACAGGAAAAGGAAGGAGAGTTATGGAATCTACATCTACAAAGTCCTCAAGCAGGTTCATCCAGATACCGGCATCTCCAGTCGGGCCATGGTCATCATGAACAGCTTCGTCAACGACATCTTCGAGCGAATTGCCGGCGAATCTTCCCGCCTCGCTCAGTACAACAAAAAGTCAACCATCAGCAGTCGCGAGATTCAGACCGCCGTCCGCCTCATTCTCCCCGGAGAGCTGGCAAAGCACGCTGAGAGCGAGGGTACCAAGGCAGTGACGAAAAACACTACCTCCAAGTAGACAGGTCATATACTGCTCTACTTGGACATACAACGGCCCTTTTCAAGAAAGAATGATATCCGTAGTAATGTAGCGTAGTTGTTTATTAAATAAATAATGTGTATATTATGAATATAAGATATAATCAAGATTACACAATAGTATATAATAATATTAGCCCTATATAAATCTAGACTAGAGCATGAAGTGTATTCATGATGATCGGAAGGAAGACGAAAATAGTTGATTAAATAAAAAAAAAGAAATACAATTCAAGATGGCAACATGTCCTAAATGATATACGTCCATGCATCCTTCCTTGAAAGGTTGACGAGATGCAGGTTAAGTGTCTTTTCTCATGATTCATCCCCACCCAGCTTCCTGCCTGCCTGCCTCCCTCTCATCCGCCCTCTGAAGATCATTTGTTAGAATGCATATTTTCGTAATTATTTGGCACCACTGAGTGCGTGAGCCGAATTCCCGGCTTGCCATGTAACCCATGTTGCAAACGGTGGTAGCGCCACCTTTCGACACATTTTATTAACTTTGCACATACGGCATCGCCAAGCCCCCTTCCCGTCACGCGCTAAACAAAAGAGCAACCCGGTTTACCAATCAAGAGAGCTTTACAAACGTAGGGCGACGGCACCAGGATCCTTCGCAGCACATATAAATAGCTGAAAATTGCCAGTGGTTCTCATTCATCCCGTCACTCGTATTTGAAGTACTGAATTACCTACTGTCTCTCAAGCAACTATGGCACGCACCAAGCGCAGACCGCTCGCAAATCTACAGGAGGGAAGTCTCCCTGCAAGCAGCTGGCAACCAAAGCTGCCAGAAAGAGTGCCCCCGCCACTGGAGGAGTCAAGAAGCCTCATCGATACAGGCCTGGCACAGTCGCCCTGAGAGAGATTCCCGCTACCAGAAGAGCACTGAGCTTCTCATCCGAAAACTGCCATTCCAGCGTCTAGTGCGTGAGATTGCACAGGACTTCAAGACAGAGCTACGTTTCCAGAGTTCCGCTGTGATGGCCCTTCAAGAAGCCAGCGAGGCAAACCTAGTTGGCCTCTTTGAGGACACCAACCTGTGTGCCATCCACGCCAAGAGGGTTACCATCATGCCCAAAGACATCCAGCTCGCCCGCCAAATCCGCGGAGAACGCGCCTAGAACCATCGGTACAGCATGTAGCCCATGCACCTCATACACAAACGGCTCTTTTCAGAGCCACCACAACCCCAAGAACCACTGTTGCTCATAAAGTTGGATTTTTTTTTTACCCCGATTTATGGAATGATTTTGACAATGATTTATTCCTAATAGATCTAGATAATAGTTTACATTCTCAGATTTTATTGAATAATAATTTGCAGGTGTTTGTTTTCCGTGACTGCTCAAGCATCTGTAAGCTGCTATGCTAATCAACTAGGGGTCCTACGCCCTTAACCCTAAAAAAGCCGGGCAATTTGAGGTCTTAGTACTGCGGGGGGGGGGGGGGGGCATTATGGTCCCCTTAAGATCTCGGCCGTGAATCGGGCGATTTCCGCGAAATTTGCACGCATGTCAAGTGAAGTGTATAGAATAATATGATAATTTCATTTTTTTGAAAAATTCACTTATTTGCATATGTATGGTAATTTATGCAAATAAGGTCATAAAATCACAATTATAACCATAAATCATATATTATTCATATTTAAGCATTCTTTTTCACTACATATATTCATTAAACCATTTTGAATAAAAATACGACAAAAAAAATTGGAAGAACCAGGTTATTCCTTATGTTATCGCTTGTTTTGATAATTTCTTATGTATTTCATTGTTTTTTTAACTCATGTATTTTATTGTTTCTGTTGTTTTAAAAATGAGCGATTTTCGGGCTGAAATGCAAAGACAAAAGGTTACGTGACCTTGAAACTGTATGTCCGATTTTCAAGTTGTTTTTTTAAGATGCGCAAGGCTCGAAAGAAAAAGGTCAGCGAGTGGCGGGGAGCCATCCATATGCGTTCCCGATCAATCAAAAAAATCGTGGAGGGGGGGGGGGGGGCCTTATTAGGGTTAAGTCATAACTGACAGTAATGAGGATTAATGCCTCACAAAAAGACAATAATAATAGCACATCGACACGGTTATGATCCTTGGGCCTCACAGTTACGAGGCCATTACTTTGCCACTGAATCACGAATGTACGCAGCGGGGGCTAGGGTAGGGGGTAGCCCCCACAAATATAAAAAAAAAAATAAGAAAATTCAATAAATTATCAATAATTCATTGCATTTTCCCCCGATCCCCAACAGGAAAAATTCCTCTGGTTCAAGGCATGACCACACAGAGAATTTGGCAATCATTGCTACAGGTAGGCCTATACAAAGCATTGTAACAGTAGATATGCCCCTTTTTTGCTTTGTATGGCCCTCACGAAATAAAGCATCGACGCTTATATGATCAGGCTTTCCTGTGAAAACAAACACAATTATTATCATAATGTAATAATGTAATTTTGTATACCTGCTTTTGAAAATGCCATGGTGTGAAGGAAAACAAATCGCAATAAAAAAGTTTCACTGTAAAACAGTAAAGCATGGTAGACCTCAGGCGCGGATCTACGGGGGTTAAGGGGGTTAACGCCCCCCCCCCCCCTCGCCCCCTCCCCCCCCCCCCCAAAAAAAAAGGGGGGAGAAGAAAAAACGCACACTGGAGAGAAACCCTTTCAAGTGCAAATACTGCGAGAAAATATTCAACTCATCTCCTTACTTAACCAAACACATAATCACTCTGGATATAACTGTATTATTGTATTAAACTGATATCTGATTAAAAAAGACGCTATCATGCACTGCTTTGTATGGTCTCCATTGTGTTAGTGGATGCCAGGAAAACATCACAATACGGGGGTTCAAAATAGCCAAAAAAATCGCCTCGCCGTTACACGGCTCGTGGTTAGGTCAAACTGTTTAAACTGTTACTTGATTTAAAAAGACGTTATCATGCACTGCTTTCTATGGTCTCCATTGTGTTCGTGGATGCCTGGAAAATCACATACGGGGTTGAAATAAACACCCCCTAAAATCGCCTCGCCGCTTCACGGCTCGTGGACGATGCTCCGCCTCGTCATTATTTTGGTCAACCCCCCTAGCTAGATCCGCCCCTAGACCTATGTCATTGTTGAAATAGTTTAGTCGCCCTTAATATTGTGTCTCTTAATTACACCCCCTTAAATGGAAGAGGTAAAATCACCTTAATATATGATAACCTTTTATATTTTTATTTTTGCTGGTCAGAGAGACTGATGTTTCATCGGACATGTGCCCCGATTTTCATATTCCTAAATCCGTTCTTCGTTACATTTTTGGCTGTTTTATTTGAACAGATTTTTACCTACAACAAGACGTGGACACAAGCTGAAATGTTTTGACGTAGTCATTCAGTGCCCTCTCTTGGCGACGGAGACTTAGTCATAGACAGCTTACGACATCTCGTTTATATTCATTCTCGACAAGAAAACGACTTCGTTGACACATTTTTCCAAACTACGTACAAGAAACAGGTACGATTATTCCATTTGAGATTTTTCTCCTCCATTAATTGATCTAAACGTTCGATAGAATCCAATATCATACCAAACATCTTTACGTATTCGTTAGTTTTAACTTTTGACCTAAGCCATCTGAAAGGGCAAGTCCACTCTTACAATAACTTACTTTCAATACAAGCAGAAAATCAGACAAACCAAGCAAAAAAGTTTGAGCAAAATCGGATAACCAATAAGAAAGTTATGAATTTTTAATGACATGAAAAACTTTGAAAATCACAAGACATTTTGGCAACTCACTCATCAGTCTGTGACGTCATTGCCTCACTATCTACTAATTGTTTTCTTTATATTGATAATATAATTTTTCAATTTTCACCCTAATAATAAACTATATGAAAAATAATAATTATGAATATACAGTATTCCGAAAATAGTATCAATTTTTCAAAGTTCATAAAAGATTTTGTGAAATAAAACCTAAAACAAAACATAAAATCTGGGCAAAGGCATGGGGAAATCTCTGGGATATAAAGGGAAATAATGGGATAAAAATGTATGAATCAATTGATAAATAGTGAAGCAATGACGTCACAAACTAATAACCAATTTGGCAATTTGTGAAGTGATTTGCATTGCTCCCTAGTTTTTCATACTTTTAAAAAAAATGCATAACTTCCTTATTTGAGATTCGATTTTCCCCACACTTTTCTTGCTCTGTTTCTCCTGTTTTTCTGCATCTATTGAAAGTATGTTATTTTTGGAGTGGACTTAGCCTTTAATCAATCTTAAAGGTAATACAAAGTTTTGGGAAATTTTGAAAATTAGGTTGATAGTGAATCTTTACAAATTTGATATATTTGGATGCCCCTGTGGATGTATTATAAGCACTGAAAAAATTACCCCCTAAAACACTTCTGTTTTCGAGAAAAATTAAATATAAAAATTTACCGGTGCTCCCGGTAAATTTTAATAAATTTCAAATGGCGACTACGGCCGTACAATGGTAGCTGCGACCTTGAAAATCTCAGAATATGTAGATGTGATATATAATTTCCAAACGGGAATAGCTAATCGGTCGATTTTAGTTAAGAAACATTGTTTCATGGCTAAATTAATATCTTGACCTTGAGAGGGAGCTATACAACATAAAGAGTTTATTATTCATAATTTCATAACTTTAGACTCGATTTCAACCGGGACAACGATCAATGAATATCGTAGGAACGCATATGCTTCCAATATGTTAATTTGAACCAAATTCATGACCCCATACCAAAACTTTGTAATACCTTTAACCTAGACCATTTCTTTAAAGGGATAATTGAGTTTTGGTAAAGAGGGTGCTACACAAAAAAAAAAAAAAATTATGAGATAATGAAAAACTGAGTGTCAAATTTGAAAAAACTCAGAAAAGCATATACTTTAAATAACAAAATAATTTTTGTTTGATCAAATTCAGTTCAGAGACGGCTGAAATATTCATAAATATAACCATTTCTAATATTTGTGGGGCCCCACAAATATTCAATAATTTTGTACCAGCCTTTGAAAAAACGAAAAAGTGCCTTATACGTGCCTCTTCCTCCATCTCTCCCTCCCCCTCTCTCAATCTCTCTCTCTCTCTCTTTCTCTCTCATTCTCTCCCTTCCCGTTTCTCGGTCTATCTACCCCTCTTCCTCTCTCCCTCCCCCTCTCTCCCCCTCTCTCAACCTTCCTCTCTCTTTCTCTCCCTCTATCTCTCCCTTCCCTCCCTCAATCCGTCTCTCTCTTGCTCTGAGTGATGCAGCGTACATGTGGATAGGGTTTCATGACGCCACATCAGATGGCAATTATGAGTGGATAGACGGGACGAACAGTGACTACACTGGAACCCGATGGAACAGGCCGAGAGGACTGCACCGATATAGTATCCTCTGGCTTTGGTAAAGGAAACGATGTGGGCATAGACGTACGACTCAAGAGGGTCAGGGGCGGGGTCTAGCTCCAGCCCCCGAGTTTAT